AAAAAACCTGGGCTCAGCTGGCCCGGATGATAGTACCTATAAGGGCTCCTAATCCAGAGATACAGGATGAGCAGCGTTTGTACTCCATGTTAGGAACGGCTGCAAATGGTGTCTTTCTCATGTCAGAGGCGGCCATTTATTTTGGAGCTAAATCGGCCTGCCACTGAGTAGTGCTCCTAGTCTTAATGACAAAGGCAGACGCATTCTACTTCACCCAGATATGATTGAGTGGGTAAAGTTTTCAACTAGCAATAATCGCGCCTCGGAAGATCCTCATGGGCTACGATATCGCCTCTGCGAAAAGCTATGATTGAGTGGAGATAAGAAAGAAGAAGAAGAAGTTAAAGCTAACGTGCTCAATGATTTATTGGGAAAAGTGGATAATCAATCCGCAGGGCTGTATCACCAGCCCTGTGTCTGTAGCTTGATGCTTGGTTTTCTGGGGAAAGTCTCCATCTTGTCCTGAGCCACGACGGATGCCATCATGTGACGGGAGATGTCGCGGGAGGTGAAGTCCTTGCTGGGACCTCGCTTCCTCAGCAGCAGTAGATGGACCACTCTGGCCTCGTCAGAGTCCTGCTGGCCTCCTACCAGCTCCCATAACAGGATCATCAGCAGGGGGGCCACGTACGTCCGCATCTCCTGCCTGGGTGACACGACATTAACAATATTTCAAAATATTCTAGCAAAGTTAGATTGTGAAATAATTGCAAAAAGGATTTAAACGATATATATCAATCGAAATAATTGCAAAATGTTTCTTCATTAAATAAAAATGGCTTTTAAGATTGAATTTCAAGTTACAACGCCATCTAGCAAGCTGAAGGGATTTGCCTTCACAATCTAACTTAAGATGGAATTGTCTCTCTTGAAGATCTAGAGGGTTACAAGAGAATCCCGGGAAGGGCCGGGATGACCACCGACTGAAGGATTTTGATGCCAGCAGCATAGGAAATACAGAATTTCCTATGGATTGAGTTAGTCAATCTTGGAACCATTGCTCGACACCTGCGAATGAGTTTGGATAAATGAGAGACGAAACTTCGTGTCTGGTCGAATTCCACCCCCAAGATGGTTTAAATATAAATAAAGTTTCTCAGTCCCACGGTCGATGAGCGTGCCCACGTGATTGAAGTAACGTAATAGAGTTTTATAGTATAGAGATAAATAATGTGCGATAAAAAATTAACGATCCGAGTACCAAAAGGGCTAAATTCAAATATGGCGTCAAAATAAATATGCGAGGTGAAAGGAAAGGGAATAGTCAATATGAACAGCTTCTCAAAATGGTTCAAGAGATTTAGAGAAGGAGGCATCAGCCTTGAGGACAAATCTCGAATGGGACAACCACATATGAAGGATATTGAGACCCTACGATTTCTGGTGATGAACAACTCACAAAAATTTACGTCTGAAATGTCAGTCAGACTTGGACCATTCAAAGATACGATTAACCGAACTCTGCACAAGCTGCACTTAGTTAGAAATGTTGGAATATTACAAAGATTAACAATGGCTATAGATGAGCTCGTGTTTGAAAAGGAACTTATACGTATATAATAATTATTGTTTTTGTTGCTTTCATGTAGACATATATACCAAGATTTGTTTTGTATAATTGCTATTAATAATAAATAATATGTAAAGTTAAATTGGTTACGCCCTTCTTACTTACTTTAATTACATAACAAGAAAGCGCTCAAAGACAAGACGACCTGACTTTAGCCCTGTCCCAGAGACGAGTACTTTACGAGTAGACACGATCTGTAACCGATTGTTAAAAAATCCGCAAGCGGATTGTAACTGGGGATGAAAAGTAGATCTATCTTCATAACCCCGACACATGAAGACAATGGATAACTTGTGATCAAGAGGCTAAATCTGTGGTTACACAGGAACGCTTTGGCCATAAAGTGATGTAGCTGCATGGCGGAACATCGATGGTATTGTACATTGATGGTCGTGCAGTTAATATCGATCTCTACTCAGGACAACTCAGCCGAGTATATGAAGTTTTGAAGACTCAATACTTTGCTTTGATCAACAGAAAGAGAATACTCCTGCAACATGACAACGCTTCAGCTTATCGAACTAGGTTAACAACGTATAGAATAATGGATTTTGAGAATATTAAAGTTCTAACTCTCCCTGCTTATAGCCCGGATATTGCGCCTTATATTGAATATGCATTATTTCAGTCCATGGCTACTTTTCTAAGGGGAAGACACTTTGAAACATTTCAAAGATGTCAAAATTACCTGTCGTTACTTTTTCGATTCCAAAACGAGAGAATGGTATCGTCATCAAATTGAAAACCTGGCAAAAAGATAGCTGGCTGTTATTGAAAATGTCGGTCTCTACTTCAATGAATAAATATTTTTTTATTATTTAATGTTTATTAAAATCTTATGGGAACGAACTTTTGAAACAGCTGGTAGTTCAGAACGTCTACTTGGAGACCAGGGCTATGTCATTCCAGGGCAGTTTTTGATTTTATGAGATCCACAAAGAATTCAAAATTGTGCTTAACTAGGTTTCATGTTGTTATATTCATCTTTATTTTTTACTAAATTAAAGAATATGAAAAAGAAGGATTAATTCAACTTTATTATTCGAAATACAAAAAGGTAACAACTCGTTCAATGTGCGCACGTCTCGGGAAGTCACTCGGCTCCACGCGGCGGGCAAACAATCGCTTTTTCTCTCCTTTCCTTTCTTCTTTTATATTACAGGGTATATTACACGTGTATTTTACATATCCACAGACTTCCAATTAATTGTATGATTTTGTCGTTTGTCAATGTCGTTTTACAATCACAAGCCGCATTTTATCATATTGTATTATAAATTACTTTATGTATAATTTACTAACGGAAAAATATGTCCAGGGTAGCCTATTGGACATGGCATCTGCCCGGTAAGCGGAAAACTGTGGGTTCGATTCCCATCCCTGGACACTTTTATTTTTCCGTTTATCATTACTCTTCACAATTCATCCTTTCATACCTCATCGCTAAGGTTAGAAATAATCGTTGTTTCTCCTTAAATTTATTTTTTTATTTTTCGTTGAAAAGAAACGCATGCGGGATAACTTTCAAATGTCCTTTTAGAATCACAAGACACATTATATCATATTGCATTATGAATGATATAGTTTATATTTTGCTCTTTAACCCTCTTTCAACTGAATACACACACAAGCCTTTATTAAAACATTCCGTCTTATACAGACGATTCTCCTGTTAGAAATGAATCTAAAAAGAAATGAGAAGCAGGGGAAGAAACTGAATCCTCGCTCAGAAAAGAGAAAAAGAAGAAAAGGAAAGAATATCTACGTACAAATGTTGAGACTACATACATCGTTTTTCGTTCATAGAACACAGTGAAGAAGTAGACTATTGAGTAAATGGTTGCATCTTGTGAAGAAAAAAATATTTTCACAAATTTCAGTTATTTGTTAGGTCTTTTTTCCTCCTTGCAATCTTGAAAAATTGAAGAACTTTATTTTCAACTAAATATAAAAACACCTGAAGCTAATTGAAGAATCAATATGATTTATTGACAGTGAGAGAGAGGAAGATGTGCTGCGGTTATTTCAAGTTTTTCAATATGTAAATTTGTATTTATTCAATAACTGAACTCTCGTTAATAGATTCTGGAGGAGGACAAGATGGAGGAGCCTCCCTTCCTGAGAACAGCTTTTTATATTTTATAGTAAAGAAATTTATATTAAATTTAATAAATTTTGTAAATATATTGTCGCGTATATGAGCCTTCAAAACACCTACAACCTCCGCCAATAGATGGCGCTTTCGCCTGTTTCCGATCTGAAACTGGTGTGGGAGTCGCCGACTGCTGTGGTCCTGTTTCCTGGGACAGATGTTTGTAAATACACGTTTATATTGTCCCTAGGAGGTAACGTAATGTAAATACCCGCTGATTGTTATTCTAGTTTTATGTAATGTGTAGTAGAAATGACAATAAAAAGAAGGAATGTCAGTAGTCTTGTTGCTGGTTGTGGTTGTTACTCTCGCCACAGTCGCTACTCTTCTGGTAAGTCTCTCGTGTTCCCCCCACCAGTGGTAAGGCCGAGAGATACTTCCAGAAGAAAGTAGATCTACTTGACTGGTGATGAGTGCTCTGCAGGGTAGGACTGCAGAGGAGAGCAACGGGAGCCCGGGTAGGTGATCCACGAAAGAAGAAGCGGCGTCGTCGCGGAGGACCGGAGGGGCAGCGCGCGACAATATTTTGAATTACAGTTAAAACTGTCTATAGCGCCTCCTCTTGGGACTCACCAAAATAGGGTGCTATAGAGAGGGGATGCTATAGACTGGTCACTTTTAATGTAAATCGCATCGTACTACGTATTTAAAATCGGGCGCTATAGAGAGGAAGGCGCTATTTAGAGGGGGCACTATAGCCAGGTTTAACTGTATATAGCAACAAATATTTTTAAAGAAACTGATAATTTATATTATGTTGATTGTACATATTGCCAGACACTTCTTTCTTTTGTACATAGTTCTTTTTTCACGTTTTTTTTTTTCTCTCTCTTTCTCCTTGTTAACATCATATGACTATTCACGGCCTTAAATTATTGTAAATAAATATGTATAGACAAATGTAAAGGCATACATGTATGACAGCGCAAGTGTAGGGGTACATAGCACTTTAAATTGAAGAGATATTTATAAACCAGGTTCCTGAAGCGCAGAACTCCAACTACACGGGAAGTCCTGCTCATTAGTGTGGATAGAGCTAAGTGCTTTTACTTGCGTCCTGTTTTGATATTGCTAATTTGAACCAGTTGACCAGATATTTCCATGCTGAGGTTGAGTCAGGGAGGCTGTCGACTTACTTAAATTGAAATATATATATAATGAAGGTATATCCTGACCAAAAGCACATATCTACTTATATATTTGCCTTATTCTGTCTGTGTGAAGTTCACTGTGTGAGGTTCACGGATAGATTTTGGTCAGAATGGATAAAATAAAAAAAGTGTCAAGGGATGGGAATCGAACCCACGACCTTCCGCTTACCGGGCAGATGCCATGACCACTAGGCCACAGGACCACAATTTATAATTGTAACAAATAGTATTTGAATCAAAACATTCAATCGGGTGAAACACGGGCGTTGCCCGGGTCATTCGGCTAGTGCTTTATATATGTGTGAATATAAGCGTATTTACGCAAGTTTGGCTTTAAATACCCATTTCTTGGTTTCTCAAGAAGCCTCTGCGACCAATTTTGGTCGCAGTGGTATAGCCTACTCCACGCTGACGGGCGCCAACAGCGCGAAACGCGTTCGTGGATGGCTTTTCTTGATTTATCAAGAAATTGGGTTGGCCAAATATCAGGGAACAGGCTATATCAATGTTTAGTTGATTTCTGTTCCACCAGATGGCGCTCTGCCTTCTGAAAAGCACATGTACTCCTGGTCAGGATATGCCTTTTTTATTTTAATATATATATTATTATTACCAAATTGTAAATAATCACATTTATTATTGTTTAATTTCTCATTAATTTTTCTAACAATTAACTAAGAGTGTCATTAAATTATTTGTATTGTCAATTGTTTTTAATAGACTCTGTGAGTTAGTGTTATGTATATTGACACACATCATATACAAGACCACCTATATTATTGTAACAAAATATTTATTATTTTATTAGCAGAGTATTATTTTTTATGTTTATATTTTGCTATAATCTGTACACTTCCCTCTTTTGCTTATCTTTTGTTTGTCACTGATAGTTTGTTTTGCCTTAAATAAATTGCTGTCCCATCCTGAAGTTTGTCTTTCCTAATTATCCACGTGGCATTTTGGTGGAGATGCTGGGTAAGTTAGGGAAGACAAACTGAATATTGGCGAGAAGACCTAGAGGCCATGGATGCTGTGATCTACATTTTCGGAGACTGACTCCAGGATTCCACCGCTGTGTCAAAGCAAAGACTTCCTTCCAAGATGACAATGTCCCTATAGACCTATAGACGACAAAGACACTCTTCACGCCACAAGCAAAAGGACGCAAAGGTACTAGGGACAAAGTTCCAAGACTTTGATGGAATCCTTGGCAGAAGCACGCCACATCCATGTCAGTAAATACAATAATTGCTAACTGTGGGTCACAGATCCCATAGGGTAGGAGCTATGTAACGAAGTATTTATAATTTATTTAACAGAGTATAATTTCTTATGTTTATACTTTGCTACTCTGTAAACTTCCCTCATTCCTTATCTTTTGTTTATCCTTCATAGTTTGTTTTTGCCTTAAATAAATTGCTGTTTTATCCTGAAATTTGTCTTCCCTAATTCTCCACGTGGCAATATAATAAAGATCCATATAATCTAAACATTCATATTGCTTTTGAAAATTACTCCTAAAACTTACATTAGTTTTAAAAATGTATTAACCAGTTGGTTTGAACAATTGGTTCTTTAACTATGTAGCTATGCTTCAAGGAAAGTTATATTTTGTTTTAGATATAGATAACAAGAAAAGAGAGAGAGAGTAATACATGTTATACCTCCAATACTGAGTTTCAAAATTTAAAAAAATGATAAACACTTCGATAAAATAATCCCTTGAATTATATTTTGAATTATATAGCAACAAATATTTTTTAAGAAACTGATAATTTATATTATGAAAAAATAGTACAAATGTGATATTGTACTGGAATAAGGTGCATAAATTAAGAAAAAGGCATCTCCTTATTGTGCAACTGAAAGTTGCTGATGGCTTGCGCCATCTATCGGAAGAAGAGGTGTTCTCCATTATCGGCCGGCCGCCGGACCTGCAGTCCTGGATCTTTCCAGTTGGTCTCGAGGACCACGCCATCACCATATCCTCAGCGGCGAAGTACGTGGTCTGCGTATTCTTCGTAGATCGCGAAATACGTGGTGTCGCTGGAGACCCACTGGCGATTCTCCACCAAACTCTGCAGCGCTGACAGAGGCGCCATATTCATTGTACATAGTGTATATAATCTATATTATCTTTTTTTTTTAAATAGTGCAGATTGTGTATTTGGAATGTATTGACAAGATGTCAATAAAATTATTTTAATTCTCTATCGGAATAAATATCAACTATTCTCGTTGATTTTTGGAATTGGCCAGTTTTGGAATAATTAAAAATCAACGAGAATAGTTGATATTTATTCCAATAGATGGCGCAAGCCATCAGCAACTTTCAGTTGCACGATAAGGAGATGCCTTTTTCTTAATTTATATTATGTTGTTTGTATATATTGCCAGACACCTATTTCTTTTGTACACAGTTTTCTGTTCACATTTTTTTTTCTCTCTCTCTTTCTCCTTGTTAATATCATATGATTATTCTCTTCACGGCCTAAAATTATTGTAAATATATATGTATAGACAAATATAAAAATTAAAATAATAACATTAGACCTCCAAGGAAAAGTTTCTATTGAAGCCCACGTTGATTCTACACATTATAAATATAAAATAGGCGTTATTGTTAATTTTCAAAATATTCACATCCATTTTTTTAAAATGTATTTTGTCAATAATATAAATATATATTGTTTTGAAAATAGATCAATCCATATTTAATTCATTAGATAATAAAAAGGCATATATTGGATATACAAAGATGTAATGCCTCGATAAAGGTTGGCGTTCAGCCAGCCGAAATATTGGCAAAATAAATCTTTTATTAAATCCAATATATGCCTTTTTATTATCTAATAAATAAATATATATATATCAAATTTTTCTCCCCATTGAATATAACAAAATATTTTAAAAACTTAATTCTGTTGACGTTATGTGCCGCTGAGTTTGTTGTTGACACACTTTAAATATGTTATAACACCTTGAGATAAAGGTTGGCGTTCAGCCAACTGAAATATTGGTAAAATAAATGATATTTTGATCCACTATATGTCTTTTTAATTAAAAATTAAAACAAATGTAAACAACCAAAGCACTTTATTTAATTTCAAATCTTATTTTATTGGCGTTTTAATGATGTAAGATATTTTCTCCCGTAGAAGGGCTTTCTTGACCGAAAGCTTGAGAGATTTTTAAATAAAAATATTTAAAACTTTTCCCTGAGGGCTTAATGTTCTTATTTTAATAGAAGCACTTGTTACTTAAGCAACATCTAAGCCGCATTATATTGTATTATAAATTACTTTATTTATTATTTACGAACGAAAAATATGTCCAGGGTAGCCTAGTGGACATGACATCTGCCCGGTAAGCGGAACACTGTGGGTTCGATTCCCATCCATGGACACTTTTATTTTTCCGTTTATCATTACTCTTCACAATTCATCCTTTCATACCTCATCCCTAAGGTTAGAAATAATCGTTATTTCTCCTTGAAATAAATTGTGATTTTTCGTTGAAAAGAAACACATGCGGGATAATTTTCAAATGTCGTTTTATAATCGCAAGCTGTATTATATTGTATTATAAACATCTATCCTACAAGTTCTCCATAAAACTGAGAAATTTCCTGGTTTCTCTAATACAATATATAGGCACAACATACTAACTACCCAATATACATAGTGTGATCAATAATTTAAAGGAATGCTAAATATTTAAAGAAATATAAAAGTATAATAAAGTTTTATTTCAAATTTATCAAAATAATCACCGTCACTATCTATACACTTGTTCCATCTTTTTTCCTGATATCAAAACACCTCTGAAAATCCTCATCTTTCAGGCTTTTCAAAATATTCTTCGTATTCTCCTTTATTTCAAGTATTGAGTCAAATCGACGTTCTTTTAAGACTTTATTGATTTTAGGGTAAAGGAAAAAGTCGTTGGGAGCAAGTTCAGGAGAATAGGGTGGCTGGGGTAGTAAAGCAATTCTGTGTTTAGCCAAATAGAGTTGTACAGTGACAGCCGTATGTGGCCGTGCGTTGTCATGATGCAAGAGCCAATTTTTCTGATGCCATTTTTCGGGTCGCTTCTGACGCACAGCCTCCCTTAAACGTTGTAATACATCAAGATAGTAATGTTGATTAATGGTCTGACCCTCGGGCACGAATTCATAGTGTACCAATCCCTTTACATCAAAGAAAGTGATAAGAAAACACTTAAGCTTCGATTTGATCATCCTTGCTTTCTTGAATCTTGGTTCTCCAGGCTATAGCCACTGGCTTGATTGCCTCTTAGTCTCGGGATCATATCCGTACACCCATGTTTCATCTCCCGTGATAACATTTTTGAGTCAATGGATATCATAATTAAACATTTCGACCATGTTTTGCACGTTTCTTTGCGATGGAAGGTGAAGGAATAATTAATTCCTTTAAAACGGTCTTGGCCTTGCAAACTACAACGTGTGATCAATAATTTCTTGTACAAATTTTTATTTTCAAGCTTTCGGACTTGTCAGTCCTTCAACAGGATTATCACGTTAACAAAATATGATGGAAATATAAGTTCAACATAGAACCAAATTATTGTACTTGTAGTATGTTGTATAGATATACGGTAATTATTCTACCAAAGTATGTGTACCACACCAACGATTCACGTATCGAATCAGAGAAGTAATTCTTTCATCACCATACTTAGAAGTACACGACAGGATACTCACTAGTACCTCGTATCAACAATACACTTACCTAATCAGAGGAGAGAAGGTATAATGTATTGGAAAGCTTCTCCACGCATGCGTCAATTACAAAACTCTCCATTGGAGAAATAGCTTATAACTTCACTGAATTCCCAGTTGAGATTAGAGGGAAGTTTCTAAGGTAAAAATTGGGAGGGATTAGCAGTCAGTTAGAACAAGCATCCCGGAGGGAATTGGAAAAACCTTGGTAATCTCTTTGAACTGGCTAAGTCTCTCTGCTATTTCTGGAGACTTCCTCCTCAGTAGGCCGGCCCTTCGTATGGCTTGATGCCCCCGATGCTGTTCAAGATGATGTAATGGCAATTCCTTCAATTCATCTTCTCCAAGATGGCGGATATCGTGAGAGGAGTGTCTAAAATCCCATACTAAAATAAGCAAACAACGCCTTTCTGCTAGATCTGTCTTCATCCCGCCTACCATCTTTATTATAACTTTGTT